AAGATGAGCCTGATGAGCCACCATATCACCACCCACTGCAGGCCAGCAGGTGAGAGACAACTACTGTCCACTCCCCAGAAAGATGTGGGGCACAATATGGGAGGAACTGAACCAGATGCTAGCCCTGGGTGTAGCAGAGGAGCTCAGGAGTAAATGGAGGACTGCAATGGTACTGGTGCCTAAACCAGGTGGAGTGGTCAGGTTCTGTGTGGACTTCAAGAAGGTGAATGCCGTCTCACAACTTGATGAACACCGCGTGCCTCATCTAGATGAGCTGCTGGAGTGGTTGGGCCACACAAAGTTCATGTCTACCTTTGATCTAGCCAAAGGCTACAGGCAGATCCCTTTAACGCCAGCATCAAAGGAGAAAATGGTGTTTCCAACACCCTTTGAGCTGTTTCAGTTTACCACAATGTCCTTTGGCTTGCATGGGGCAACAGCCACTTTCCAGCAGCTTATGAACAAAGTACTGGGTCCCCACAATACATGTGCAGCTGCCTACATTGATGTCATTGTGGTCTACAGTAACAGTTGGGCAGAACACATGCAACACCTAAGCCAAGTTCTGAAGCCTTGGCAGAGGCAGGCCTTACTGCAAATCTGGCCAAATACCACTGGGGCCAACACGAGGTAAAGTATCTGGGTGACACTGTCAGCAGAGGACAACTCCAGCCAGTGATAGATAATGTGCAAGTGCTGCGAGTCTACCCCACTCCAACCACAAAGAGGCAAGTGCGGCAGTTCTTAGGGATAATAGGATATTACCAGTGCTTTATACCAAATTTTGCCACCCTAGCTACCCTTCTTACGGACCTCAAGAAGAAGCCCCAGTCTCATCACATTGAGTGGTCAGAGGACTGTGAAGTCGTCTTCAAGACCTTGTCTGAGCAGATGATCTGGGAACTGGTGCTCATCCAGCCAGACTTCAACAGCCTGTTTAATCTACAGACTGACACCTCAGAGACAGGTCTAGGAACAGTATTATCACAAGAGGCAGGAGGGGAAGAACACCCCATTTTGTATCTGAGCCATAAACTGTTCCCATGAGAGGCACATTACTCCACAATAGAAAAGGAGGCTTTTGTGGTGAAATGGGCAGCAGAGATCCTGAGGTATTATCTTTTAGGGAGCTGATTCATGTTGGTTATAGATGACACACTGTTAAAATGGTTCCACACCATGAAAGACACCAATGTCAGAATCTTGCGCTGGTACCTGTCACTCCTTTAGGCATTTCAGGTTGCTCACCAGACTGGAAAAGTCCATGCTAATGCCGACTTATTTTCATGGGCCGGGGAGTTTGGGGAAGAGGTGCCCCCCCAAGAACACCACTTACGGGAGAGAGTATGTGATGGGGTGTACCAGTCCTGCACTGGGAAAGCTGGTCTTAACCAGTCTCACCTGGCTGAGGAAGCCCTGACCCTGTAGCCCTGCTGGGGATGCTTAGATTGCCACCTAGGTATTAAAAACCTGGAGAGATGCTCAGTCTGGGCTGGCTGCTGAGGAGGAAGGAGGCATTGTCTGAGCTCCTGCAGGAGAACTACCAGAGGGACCAGCTCTGGAAACCAGCCAGCAAAACACCAAAACCACAAAAGAGGGTATGAAGGAAGGCCAGCAGAGACTGGTAGGAAGTAGCCCAGGGCGGGATATTGTTGCCTGTGGCTCTCTGCGTGTTGCGGTGGGATTCCCCACTGCCAGAACAGTGGACCATGCCACTGCTAACAGGGCCTTGGGCTGAGACCCAGTGGAGTAGGGGGGTCCTGGGTCCCCCTACCACTTCCTGAATCCCCGAGCTGGAGGGATCCAGCACCTATTTATTACTGACTCTGGATGCTAGGCTGCACTGTCTTAATGAGAGGGGAATTTACTAGAAACTCAGGCCATTAGGCCGTGCTGCCCTGATGAAAGGGGTGTTTACTAGAGACTCCAACTGCCAGGCAGCACTGTCCTGGTTGGAGGATTGTTTACTGTAGACTCCAGCTGCTAAACCACACTCTCTGGGTGAGAGGGGGATTTACTACTGACTCTGACCACTAGGCTGCACTGCCCTAGTGAGAGGGATGTTTACTAGAGACTCCAGCCATTAAGTCGTGCTGCCCCAGTGAGAGGGGCATTTCCTAGAGACTCCAGCCATGGAGCCACACTGCTCTGGGAAAGGGTCGAGTGTATTACTGATATTTTTTGAAGAGCTGCATTGCAAATGTTATTTAAGCAGACTCTGAGTACCCACTGTCTTCACATCAAGTCACTGCTTGTGAGTCACCAAGAGATATGAATAAGCACTAGAGGATGAAAGAAAAAAAATATTTACCTTAAAACAATCAGAGTTCTTTGTGATGTGATGTCCATATGTATTCTACAGCCTGCTCTCCATCCTTGTTGCCATAGAATTCTTTCATATCTGGATTATGCAGTAGCACAGGAGGTGAATAGTGATTAAGCTTGCTCTAGTCTGTGTACACTTGGCATGGGAGCACAACCACCAAGTGGACACTGCTGGCCAAAAGATTCCAATCTCAAGTTCATGGGATACATGTGCACCAAGAATAGACTACATATGGACAACACTTGTTGAAGAATTTCAGGTACTAGAACAGGGGTGAGCAATAATTTTTGCCTGGGGGCCACTTCAAAAATTTCTGAAGTAGTCCCAGGCCACCCAGGAAGGGGTAGGGCCTAAACAGAAAGGGGCAGGGCCTAAATGGGAAGGTGCAGGGCTACCCTACTCCCAGACCATGATTGATCTGCGGGTGGGGAGAGCCCCTTTGCCACCCTTCCCACTAGGCACCCATGCTCTAGAAGAGGCTTGGCATGCTCTCCCACCCCCAGGCCAATCAGGACCTGGGGGCAGGATAGCGCAGGAAGTCTCCTCCTGCCCTGCGAGGTGCCACAGGCTCCTCGCAGGGCCAGGGCAGAGTGAAGGAAGCTTCACGCAGCTCCCCTGCTCCCAGGCCCAGATTGGCCGCCCCCCCCCCCACTTGGCGGGCCAGATCCAGCCTGTGGAGGCCCTTTTGCCCACCCCTGTACTAGAAGGTACATTTTCTTAATCATGATGAAAGGTGCTGAAGGCATGAATAAGAGTTTCAGAAAGGTTTGTGGGCAATGTCTTAGGGATTAGAAGCAGAATTATAGCGTTGAGCAATAAAAGAGGCACAAGAAAGTTGTCAATTTTGGGATGAAGTAAAAACATAAGGTTTGAATTGAACAAGAAGATAGACATGGTGAAGTTTCACTTATAATTTATTTTTTTTAGGGCTAGGTCCCCCCTAAACAATAATAAAGAATAGTACCTTGTACCACAGATAAGCTCACTGATTTCAACTGTCACTGTGAGACAAAATGGCTAAATCTGGCCTTAATGAGTAAATTAACAGTTTTGGATATATTGTGTGGCTAAGGTGGAATGAGTAGCTGATGAGGTTGAGAATGACAGAGTGAGGAAAGCTTTTCAACAAGTGGCCCTATGTTTCACATTATTATCTGATTACCTGGACATATGCTTTTCATCTTCAAGGCATTTTACAAATAGTACATAGTTATTCCTCGGAATACCCCTTTCAGAGAATTGTGTAAATGTTATCTTCATATCACAGATAGTGAAACTGTGGTAGAGAAATCACCTGACAACTGAACCAATGTCAGACTGGGAACTAGAAACGAATATATCCCGGCTTCCTGTCCCATTCCCAAACTACAACTCCATGCATTCCATCAAGCCCAAAGGCTCCTCACAGCTGCAAAAAGCAGAATGTGAAAGCACCTGCAAGAACATACAGAGTTTCAAATATTTGTTTCAGAAACCTGACATTTCAACATCATGTTATATAGCAGTATACAGAAAACCCCAGTTTTGTTACTTGACTTTGCACTTTTTATAGATACCTACCACTGCAATGTGCCTCATTGCTTTTAAATTTGATATGAGAACAATGCAGATTGATGACACAAATAGAGAGGATAGCAAAGCAAAGCACCCAGGGACAATCAGTGAAATCCACTTGGAGGCTTAAGTGCCCATATTCAGACATGCACACACATGCCTATTCAGGACCATGGTACACTCAGAAATGGAACTTGAAACAGCATTCTGTATACTCTTAAGCACTGTCATATTGTAAGCAAAAATATTGTTTAAAAACCAATAGGTACTACAGTCACTGCATTAATTGTCAACCTTACATATTTCTTTGAACTGAAATTCAACAGGAGCCAACCATTCTGTGGTGGACTTCATTTGCCTGACTGTATGTTCATACACAACCAGTGGGTTTTTGTCTTGGTTTGAATCTGCCTGGAAGGAAAAAATGTTCATTGTGATCTGAATCTAGGAAGGAAAGCTGTGGTGAATGATCCATATAGTAAGGACAAGTACAAGCATTAGAGGTGTCTGTGTGTGTCTGTGTGTAAAAGCCAGTCACGTGAGATGCTAAGAACTCGCTAGGAGAATATACTATAGGGCACAATCCTGTATTGGCTGGGAGGAGTGGATTAGATGATTTAAGAGAGATGGAAAGAATGGGGAAGAAGAAAGTCCCCTGATCATGTAAAGATAAAGCTCCCACGAAATGCACAACACACACCCACACAGCAGCCTCCCTCCCCTTTCCTTTTCCCATTTAATATCCACATCCCAGTTTTCCTGCCTCCCTCAGGAAGTCCTGACTGCCAGAATAACCCAGTCTGGTTGGAAGGATCATTAGGAAAACAACAATAGCTGGTGTGATACTAGCTCGAGCGGCTGCCGCTGCTGTAAGGAATTGAACTGTCATCTATGTAAATACAGCTCTGTTGGAGTCACATGTGCAGCAAGGGGCATTGTTGGCAAAGAAGAGAGGAGGAGGAGGGGAGGGGGAAGAGAGCAGAGCAGGTCTGAACAATAGAGAGAGGAGGGGGGTTGGCAGAAAGCCTGCTTTTGCTGGAGGTGTTGGGGGGAGGACTCCAAACCCCACACGACTGGCAGGCAGTGGGAGCAGCTGCTGCTAAGCCCAGGCAGCGAGCAGCTGCTGCCAAGCCCAGGGAGCAGCAGCCGCAGCAGAGCTCATCAGACACCATGGAAGGGATGATCCCGGTGGTGCACGGCTGGGCTAGCTGCTGAAAGCGCCTCCAACCCTCCTCCCTCTCTCTCCCCCTTTGCTTCTCCTCCTCCCTAACTCACTGGATATTAGCAGCAGCTGGGCTCGCCTCTTCTTCCCCCAGCCATGAATCCCGCAGAAGGGGCAGCGGAGGAAGGTGCTGTTCCCGATTCCGAGGTGGATGCTTTTTTCCGAACAGGTAAGGCAGGAATGGGGAAGGGGAGATGGAGGAGGGAAGGGGCTGCCACCGCCTGTCTGGCCGAGAATGGGATGCGAGAAAGGGATTGTTTTGCGTTGGCACCATCCTGGAGTGGATGGCCGCAGGGAACTCGCTGTCTTGCTTTGTTTGGGGGCATGGACAGGGTTGGGGTCCGCTGGGTGAAGGATTCTGATTCTCCCCTCTTCTTGTTTATATTTTGTTCATTGTCTATTTCCCCTCTGCTCCCCCTCCCCCTTCTAAGCCTTGGTGCCAGAGTGACATACACTAAAAGGAGAAGCCCCTTCTCTGGGCAAAGGCGCTTTGTGTTAGGGTTGTTTTCAAAAGCACTTAGCGAATTGACTGGGGATTGGAAAGTGGTGGCTGTCAGTTTCAGAAGAGAACCAGATTTATTTCCCCCCTCTTCTTGTTTCGTTTCCATTTGTTCCCTGGCTTGCTAGAAAATGATGCTGCTCTTCGCTTGTTACACAGGAATGGGGCGATCTTAGATCACTTTTTAAATGCAAGAGGGAAGGGATTACACATCCTCCCAGTTCTTGCATGTTACAAGATCTTAACATTGCAGGAAATGTAACCTTACTCTCTCCCTTCCTCTTCGGAGATTGGAAACACACAAAAGCCTCTCTAAGACGTTTGTTGGTAGCTTGTGAGAACTCCTCACACAAAAAGACATGGCATTTGGTCTTAAACATGCTTTCAAATTGAGTTATAGGTAGGGATCTGTTGATGGAGCTAGAGCTCCAATTTTAACCATCCTTAGGCATATTGCCATAGTGTATAACTGCTTCCTGGATCCTGCCACTGTCAGGTTGGAGAATAAGGGGGGAAAGGTCAGTAAATAATAATCACAATTAATTATTTTGAAGAGGAGTTACTTTCATCCCTCCTTCAGTCTAGTAAATTTGTACTTTCACTTGAAAACTATAAATATATTATATGTGCAAGTTCTGTCATACCCTTCCATCTCAAACCACCTTTGCAATCCTTTAAAAAGGCTTTGTTAATCCAGTGCCATCAGTCATAGATAATGTGGCAGGGTACTGGACATTAGGGATGCTAGAAGTCAACACAGGTCATTACTGATGGGAAAACTGGTGAGCATATTTGCCTGGGTATCTCATTCCTACTGAAGTAGACTTTCGTTAGAAGGATTCAAGAACACATCCAATTGTGTATCAGTGAGTAGTGTGAGAAATAAATGTCCTCCAGTTTTAGGGGACAATACTATTACATAGTATAAGATGAAATGTGACTCTGCTTCAGGCCATATTCTTTAAGAAATGTGTCTACACTACAAACCCACATAGGGTATTATGAGTTCGGTGTGCCTTATCTTTGAAACATAATTTTATGTAGGATCAAAGCCCCAGGTGAAATAATTTATGGAATTCATTTTAATTCCCTAGGTGGAACTTTAAGAAAGTATTACATACTACTTGTTGGATTTTTAATTAAAATTGCAAAGGATTAAATGCTCACTCATAAGGGTATTGACCCTGGTAGTCTGGATTTGACACTTACTGCCACAGCTGTTTGTCAGGGCTTTGCTTTTCAGCTGCCTTCTTCCTTCTACCTGATCATTGGTTATACAGATGGTTTCAGGCTCCAGTTACAACAAAACAATCTTATAATCACCAAAACTTTAAAGGAGTTCATTCCTGCAGATCTGCTACAACTGTGTGGACTGAACCATGTTTATGTGAAAATGCTTTGATCTGGAGGATAACTATAATAAGGTCTGACTTTGCATATCTTGTGATCCATTAAGCCAATGAATATTTGCCTCCTGATACTCTGCACGGCTACAAGTAAAGCATTATAGATTTCCCATACCCCAGTGGTGTAAATGTTCTTGGGCTATTGAAGTTTTGGAGAATGCACTTTAAAAATTAGCAATTTTTCTTTTTAAAAATGTATGTTGCGTCAGGACTCTCCCCCTTAAAAGCTTAAATCATTGCATAATGACACTCAATTTCCAGCATAAGAAAAGATGATAAAATTGAATTCAGAGGGACTGTTCACATTTGTGCGCAGATTATAAAAGAAATCAGGCTAAATAAGAAAAGAACAAACACTCAGAGTCCCATGATCAAACATTTTCCTGTTCTGTGTCCTCCTCCTGAAATTTCATGCCTAAGGAATAATGAATATAACTTTGTTAGGTATCCTGTGCATTTAATTTAAAGGGTTTCTGGAGGTTTTTTGGCATTACATTTTATTCAAGGAAGTGAATAGTTTGCATCTGAATGATTCTATACCATCATGTGTCCTCTGATAACTATGATACTGGTTCATGTCTGTGAATTAGTAAACAATTTTTCTTTTAAACAGTATCAGTATTTTGTGCATATCAGGTATGTTTTAAAATGAATATAAATAACACAGATAAACTGAAATCCAGGCATCTGATGGTAGGCCTGACCTTAATGAAACTGACTATTTTTTATTGGAATAACTTATATTTCTATGAATGCTTGTCCTATTTGGTTCTCTACTTTCTGTGCTGATGTTGTGACTGCCTAGAGTTGCTGTTGGTGTCAGTCCTAATAGGTGGTAGAGAAAACAGCTCATGAGGTGTATTCAGGGAGAGAGTCTAGATAGAACACTTATGAACAAACTGAGAACCTGACCCTTCCAGTCTCTTCTCAGGCAGAATTCCTACAGAAGTCAATGGCAGTATTGCCCGAGACAAGACTGTGAGATCAGATCCTGTATTACCCTTTGTCTACTTTTTTTGTGGTTTGTTTTTTTGTTAAGTGTTAATGAGGTGTTTGTATATACAAAAATATATATGAATTACTAGTGTTTATGTAGATTATATAAAAGACAATTTCTTAGTCACTTGGTGCATTTGTGACAACTAAAACAATATTTTGTTAACATTAGGTATGTCAGTAATGCAGATCCTTGCCTTCCATGTACAGGATAACCATTTGAAGGAGCTGCCAAACAGTTGGCTATAAGAAGGGCACTCAACAAATTGCAGGAAAAGCAAAAACTCAGAAGGCAGCATCCTCAGTGAAAAATCAATGTCCTGATGCCTTCTTCCATCATTGTATCTCAGTCAAAAGCTTTAGTAAACAGATAAGTTTTATACTGAACATCAAAGATCAACAGATTCAGCTCTCTTGGACCAATAGAGTAAGCAGATGCCAGAGGTGAAGGCCCTTCACAGATGGTTAGCAAGATCACCCAGTAATTCAGATGTAGGCTGTTATCCAATGAAGATAACAGATACATTGATAATAAACAAATTGATAAATTAATCAATCCAAAGTAACAAATGATGGGCCTGATTTTGATCTCACACTGGTGTGAAACAGGGATAACTTCTATGAAGTCAATGGACATACACTATTATAACCGAGATCAGTATCTTGTCAAATGTCTCTAAAGAAATATGTGGCAGAGACTTTTCTGATTTTAGTTACCATAATGTATAAAAAGAGTAATTTCATTTACTTGAGTGGGATTGTATTTCTGTAACTGAAATCAGAATTCATAATAATTCATGCACTCTCACTTCATGCAAGTCATAGAACTAAAAGCAGTAATTTCCACATCAAGTCCAGAACTACTGTTTGAGCTATAGCAATTCTTTGTGAAAGAATCTGATCCTTTACATACTTTATTAAGCTTTGATTTCTATTTGAAAAAGAATGAAATTGTGCATAAGTTCTTCAGAAAAAGTGGCTTATTTTGTATCAGCAATTTAAATGTGTATTGAGTTTTCTGCTTTTATGTTGTTGTGTGGGATGGAATCCAAATGACTTTGTTGCTTGGAGAATGAATGTAGTAAAGGAAGTCATGTTGTAAAGCCATGGATGGAATGTCAGAATTTTCCCGGGATGTTTGAGGACCTATAAGAAAAGCTTTGTCTTTGTGCCTGTGTTCTAAGAGTTTCTGTTACACTTTGGAAGCTGCGGTGAAACAGACAAAATGTTGTCAAGCCTTAACTATCCATAGAGGTAAATGGAAGAATCCAGCGAACCAGGAGTTTTTGGAAAGAGCAATCATTAATCCATACAATACACAGTGGATAGATATCGAGATAACTATGTTAGTCTGTATCTGCTAAAACAACGAGGAGTCCTGTGGCACCTTTAGGATTAATAGATTTATTGGGCATAAGCATTCGTAGGCAAATAAATATGTTAGTCTTTAAGGTGCCACTGGACTCCTCAATGTTTTTACAGTGGATTGGGTTTTCATCTCTAATTTTTTGTGGCATTTAATTTTAATATTGTTTCTGATGTGAAGATGAAGAATCTGTTATTGATTCCTGTGGGTGAATTGAAAATTGATCTTTTTTTGAATGTGATGAATTATTCTCTTTGCCTTTTGCCTTCTACCAGCATGTTAGGCTTTCACTATGGTTCATTTGTGTACAAGTGATTGGCAGTTCTGCTACTAAATAATTTTAAAATGATTGGCAGTGGACAGGCTGTTTGATCAATAGATGTTCTTGAAAAAAAGCCTGCAGAAGAGTGCTCCTTGAGACTGATGGAATCAAGTGTCTCCTACTAGGACAGATAAATTGAATCGATCTGCTTGTCTCTGGTGGTAAGGTGTACTCATTGTGTCTGACTTCCTCACCTTGAGACTTTATAATTTATAAGAGCTGTTCTGGTAATGTACACTAATAAAGGAGGCTGTGATGTGGAAAAAAAACCTGTCATGTTTTATGTTCCATTTGGAAAGGACCCCTGTTGTTTAAAGGGGCAGTGACAACATAGAGATTACCCTTCTCTTCAGAAATTTTACCCTATGGCAGGGATGGGGAATATTTTTTGGGTCTGGGGTCACTGACCCGCAGAGAAATCAGCTGGGGACCACACAAATGAGAAACAAAAAGGAAAAAAAACCAACAACCCCTCAGTGACATAGCTTCTGACTGAGGAGAAAGACACTCCCCGCATTCCCCTTACACACCAGAGGCTACTGGGGCCCAGGCTAGTAGATTTTGTGTGCTCTAGTCCTCC